GTTGCAAGTATCTGGGATAATTTAAAAAAGATATTTGGAATATCAAATTTAGTACAGATGGCTTAAATTGTCTTGTTCTTCTCTGTGCATAATATTGGGTAGTTTCATTGATAACTAAAGAGCATCTTAGATGGCATGAAAGAATTCCCTTCCATGTCAGCTTATTCTTTTAATTTGCCTATTTGCATCATCTAGAAATATTTTCTTTTTGAGAACCTTTTATGGTTTTCTGCAATTTGGGAAGTGCTAACGGGGGGAACCACTATGAAGTATCCTGGCTTTACAAAAAAAAAGTGTACAACTAAGTGTACCTTTTGGATTTGCTGAGAATTATTGAGAGTCAGACAGCATACAAACTTAACACACTCATTGTTAATTATTAAATTTCCACGCTTTTGTGCTTTTAAGGATTTTGGACGGGTTTCGTCCCTTACTAGCTAAAATCTTTTAAATTCACTATTGAAAAACATTCAGAAAAATTGTATTTTTTGAAAGTACCATTTAGCATGTAGTATTCATACTTCTAGAATATTTAGAGGTTGTAAATTGGATTCTGTATTAATGGAGTCTTGAACCTTTGCCATGTTCCACCTGTTTCAGCTTTACTACTGTACGTTTAGGTTATTCATGTAGGAATGGGCAATGACCTGCAGGTGGCAGAAGAGATCAGTATCTGATTTGTATATGTTAGTACTTGCTGTATTTGCTTCTTCCTTGCAAGTGGTAATTAAAGAGATGTAGTTGCACATGTGACATATGACTAAATTCCTACTAGGGTTAGGAGGACATTTGAGTTGTGGCCAGATGATGTTTTACGCATCAGTGTATTTTACTGTATGTGCATCTGCTGGGGTTTTTAATTTGTGAAATGGTTAATAATTATATGCCCTTAAAATTATAAACTATTTGGGGGAGAGGTTTTTACTGTAACACACTAATACATACATTCCTACAATTGTAGTAGCTTTACCAGTACGTTTATATCGAGTTACATAAACATAAGAAGATATACTTGCCAATTACATATATCTTGGGCTCATACACAGATTTCACAATTTCTAGGCATATTTCCATGCTTTGAGTCAGTGTTCTTCGAACCACAGGATACATTGTGCACCTAAAATGTTAACAAATTAAAATAAAATAAATGTCTTTTTATTATATTATACATTTTTTATTTATTTTAAGTGAACCAGGTTTTGGATTGGTCAGATTCTAAATGGAAGAGTTAGACTTCCATTTGGAGAAGAATATAATGCGATGCTGTTTATGAGTTATGATAGTCATAAGCCTGTATGTTTAGTACGCACTGCAATAATTTCATTTGTTGTGGCTTTCCAGCCATTTTTCCCCCATACCTGTTAACCTCATGGTTTATAATTTGACAGAATGAAGCAGCCACCCCATGAGTGGATATATTTTTTTGCATTTAACTATGGATTTTCCCCAGTTGTTCATTAGGAAAGTTTCTGAATTCAAGCTTGTAAGCATATGCTAGGTAACGGAACATATTTTTTTCCACGGTTCATGTTACCCTGCAATCTGTCTCTGTAGTCCATTTCTCTTACTTATGCTTGCTTCTGCTACTAGAAGCAAATGGGAAAGGGGGTTGAGGATTAGGTAACTATACAACATGGGAAGCACTGGGTATGAACATTTATGATTTCTTGATTCTTATATTATTATTTTTACTTTTAAGCCCTTACTTTTCTGTACAGAATAGTAATTAGATTTGTTATAGAGAAGTCAGCCTGTCTTAACATCTCTCTGTGACACATGTGTATGAGTTTACCATACCCAATGTTTTCCTAGGAAAAAAAAAAGCTGATAATAGATTTTGGACACAATGCTTTTTAAATTGTGCCATCATCAGGGAGGAGTAGATGACTTGATAGAACATTATGTGATCACTTCAATGCAAGATTGCTCCTGGATCTGGGAAATTAAATCATCCTTTAGACAATACGTGGATTCAGTCCTTTCTTATGGGGCAGTATGACATTTCTTTCTTACTGAATGTTACCTATTGGTCTAATTTTTAATAAGGTGGTAAACAGATCAGACTTTTATATTTTGGAAGCCTTTGAGTCAGTCTTGACGCCTAGCAACTGCCTACACAAGCCATTGCAGTTTTCTTGGCAAGATTTCAGAATGATGTTGCCGCTGCTTTTTAGGGTTGAGAGAAAGTGACTGGCATAAGGTCACCCAGCTGGCATTGTTTCTAAGACAGGACTAGAACTCATGGTCTTCCAGTTTTAGCTCAATGTCTTAACCCCTACACCGAACTGGATCAAGTCACAGCATGAATGAATTTCATCCTCTACAATAGGCTTCTGCCAGAAAAACAGTCAAACCATCCATAAATGCTACCGTTGTGGTTTGTTTGGTGTGGTATATGAACCATGAACTTTTGGAGCAGGGTAGAGTTTCTAGTTTAGAAGTCACAGTTATAAGTTACAGAAGAAGCTTATATATGCCAGCACAGTGCTTGGTCATAAGAAATTGGAACAGGTTATTTACATTTGAAAAAAAAATCATACTATTCCTATCATAGTCACGTACAAAATTATAAAATCCTTATGATTTTTAAAATATAACAAAACATGTAAGCAACTAAAAAAATGCTTTTCCCTGGTTTCAGGAATATTGTAGTCTCTGTCAGGTTTCGAGCTGTGAGAACATTACCAAAATAATAGGTGGCTATGGAGGCCTTCCCATGTATTAAAGTATATTTTAATATTTCCCCACTTCTGACTTAAAATATCTATCCTTTAAGCAGCAGAAAATTATAACATATCTCTGCTACTGTTCCCTGTGGTGCCTCTGTTGGTCTGTTCTGATTTTGAGCACACAGCACTGGATGAACAAAGCAAATGAATTGGCAGCTCTCTTTCCTTATCTACATGATACCAAACTGTGGCAAAACCACCTGTCAATTACAATTATGGTACCACGGTATGAATGGGGCCATTCTGGAGGAAATGAGAGTTTTCAGATCCTTCCTTTCTTTGATCATGAAGCAATTAGTGAGGGGGAAGAAAGGTTGTACTCACCCTTTCATCGCTGACTATTTCACTCTTAAAATAAGATCACGGAGGACTAGTAAAAACGCTAAGGAATTGCTGGCTGAGGTTTAGAGACTAACTCTAATGTTCCTGCACAGTTCTGATAGACAACCTGCATATAACTATCTATTCTCTATAACAACAAAGTGTTGTTTTATGCTGATCAGGGACTAGAAGGGAAGAAACGTGCCTGCAAAAACTTGAAATGGCCAGTTAAGGCTACTGTGTTCCCACTTGCTACCAACCAGTAAATCTTGCCTTTGATGGAAAGGATGGCCAAATGTATTCAATTTTGCATACTTGTAACTGATGGATATGGCCAAGTTATGGCAGAAATTCCTTTTCAGCTGTGATATTGCTAATAGTTCACTTTCAACTGTCTTACTAATGAGCAGGGGACAAAATGAACACAATGCCATGGGGACTCAGGCAAGAAAGCCTTGTTGCCAGAACATGTCTTCACCATATTTAGGTGGGAAAAGAGATCACTTTAGTACTGTGCTGATGCAACAGTAATATGAGCAGGTTTTACGGTCCCCTCCAGGAATAATGTCTCACTGCAGCCTTCATGTGCCCCACTGTTTATCAAGAATCTGCTCTCACGACATCGTCTTCATTTACTTGGCACCCAATTATATTGACATTGAAGGCACGTGAAGGTGGCTGTGAAGAAGAACCCTGTAATTGCAACAATCCTAGGATAGTGCTATGGCATGATATCCATTGAGGGTTTCTAGTGTCTTCTAAAGTTGATCATTATTGATGGGTCAATATAATGGAGATGAGAACATGTTTTATGTTGCCTCCACGATGATTATTTAAAACCTACGGCCATTTCCTACTTACTGATTGATGGTGTCTTCAGTTACTTTTTGGCCACAGCTAAGGAGATCAAATGCCTTTTTAAAAAATACCTATTATATTGACGTAAAGGAAGTTGGATGACTCTTTTCCCACTATTGAGTTAATGTTAGTCACCTTTCCTTGCCTCAGCTGAAAACTATATACCATTACATGAAATGTGATATCCCTGTTGCTAGTCTCAGTCTTTCTTCTACTGGCTGCTTTTATTTCAGGACACTGCAATCACCTCCAGGATAGTGAGTAATAAAACTAGTGTATTGTACAGGATAAAGGAGAAAAACGCTACGTTTGTTTGATGCAGCTAAAAAGAACTTACAACCAGTCTCACTCATAAGGTGGGGCAAAACTGATGGCAAATCATAGCCATGCCACAAAACACACACACACATACACAGAGAGAGAGAGAGAGATGTTGCTAGGGCAGATGTGTGCCATAGTTGGGAATGATTTTTTTAAAGAACAGCTATTGCTCCAAAAGAAATATAGAATAGAATATAATGAGCTGGAAGGGACATTGGAGGTCTTCTAGTCCAGCCCCTCGTTCAAGCAGGAGAACCTATATCTATACCATTTCAGATAAGCGACCATTTCAGATATGTATACATTCGCGGGGGTCTAGCAAAGCACAGCAAAAAGAAGCCTCCTTTATCTTTAGGATTTTTTTGTAGGGACTGATGTGCTGAAGAAGCACTTCCCCTTAAGTGCGTGCCTCGGTCCGCATTCGAGATGCAGGGTCAGCAGCTTGGCTCCGTTTCCCCTGAATGGATGGATGCCAATTGCAAACGAGGGAGCCGGGGAATCGAGCAGATGCCAAGTAGCCTTTCCCAGAAGAAGCTTGGACATGGTGGGGAACGGCAGCTTCGCCTCTTCGTTCTGTGGAGTTTCCCACCGCCCCGCCCCGTGGCCGGCTGCTGCTTTTGCTTTTTAGAGGCTCTTCCTCAGTACAGGCTGAGGCTGAGGCTGCTGCTGAAACGCGGCGTTAGTCGCTGACCTCTCCCTCTCCCTCTGCCTCCCTGCACAACCCAGTCTCATGATTCACTGTCTCTCCCTCCCTCTCTTGCCTCCTGGCAGAGCCATTTGAATCTGCAGGCCAGTAGCGTTCTGGGAGTGGGCGGAGGCGAGGCGAGTCGGCTCCAGGCGGAGATGCTTCAGCTGGACCTGATTGACGCCACTGGGGAGACCCCCGCCGAAGAAGGGACGGCGCCCGATCCCATCAAGGAGCCCCCGCCAGTAACCATGGAGACCTACAGACCGAAACGGCCCACGACGCTCAATCTCTTCCCGCAGGTGCCTCGGACGCAGGTGAGTCCCTCAGCCTCTTCGCCGCCCCGCGCCCCCCCCCCCCCCATTCGGAGAGTTCCTTCTCAGCGTCCCTTGACAACCCCCCCCTTCCCGCCGCCTTGTCTCTTTTAACATTTACTAAGAA